CACTGTTGACTTGCTCTTAGGATTCTCTGTGGTGGGCGCTACCAGTGCATTGCAGCAGCCTCCCCATCTGTGGTCTTCAGACACGGGAACCACATGGCCCCGGTAGAGCCCCTAGCTCTGGAGGCGCTGTCCATCACTGCCCTTCTTGGCTGCGAGGCCCAGACCATAGTCACTTTTCTACTCCCAACACGGAAAGTCTTTAGCCACAGTTGGCCTCCTGGGGTTTGCTGTCTGGGTGGCCTAGTGTGGTGGTCCAGGCTTTCCCATATGGCTGGTCAGAGGGGGAGGGCCATCCCCACTTCTGCCTGCCCACCTGCCTCCCAGCTGTGGGTCCGCCTCACAGGGAGGCAAACTGAGGCCTGACTGTGTACACTAGTCCCTATCCTGGCCTCTGACATAGAGGGGTGAGTTTATTAGTCCTGCTCCCTGGGCTGCAGCTGGCCAGTTTATTAGTCATCCTGTGCATGTTAATGATGGTTAGGAGGTTGCGTGTCAGGCAGGCTCCATTCTGTGAGTCACAGCCACCTTGATGGCCCCTGGTAATAGATGTGGATTAATTAACTAAGACTTGAGTTGACTATGTGGTGAAGAAGGGGCACCTCACATCTCTGTTCTGTGGGTGCTGGAGTCTGCCTTGTGTGGAATGGTGGCACATGCACACAGTGGGCTTAGCCTCGGTCTTTCCTCACAGAACCATGTAACGGTGCACATAGCTTTCAGTTTCTTCTTCCTCCTAGGTCAGTATCTGATCTGAGGGTTAGGGTTCGTGTCTGAGTGTGGTGACTATGTGAAGAGGCCTTGGGGACCCTTGGCTTCACTCTTGAGGAACTTACTGTGTGTCCAGATTCATCAGCAGGTTCCACCTGATGAATACACCCCAGGTGCGGCCCATTCCAGTCTCTTTGCAGCTCCATTTCTCTTCTTCCCCAGCACCCGTTTTGGAGCCTGAATCTGTAGGGTTTATTTGGTTCTCTGAACAGCCCCTTCCAGCATTTATAGAACCATCTGCAGGTAGAGTTCTGTTAGAAGCAGCCAGCACACACTTCCCTGTATCATTGATAGAACTTGTCGGCATATTACTCATCGCCTGCCCTGGGAATCGGAGATGTGTGCGCTGCCCCTGATGTGCTCACTCTGTCCCGTCAGTCGCACGCCTCATTTGTTGACCTCAGATTTGGGGCCTTTTCCTGGGCTTTCACATCTCAGGGAGCTGTAGGCACTAGTACACAGATTATGGAAAGTTTGGGACATGCGTTTCCTCTGGACACGTGTCATCCACACTGGCGTCTTTTGGGCAGTGCTTGAAGCAGATTTCTGTAAAGGCTGGGGACAGTGCCATGAAGGTGGCGAGGGAGGGGATCAACTTGGTCACCAGCCTCTGGCAAAAATATAAGACTGGAAAGCTGAAAATAGATCCATTTGCATCCTCTTTGTTTTTAAAGAGCATGTTCAGCAGTGGCAATGAGCACTTTGCTGTCCCCTCTCCTCCACATCAGCTGCAAGTGTCAGAACGTGGTTAAAAATAAACCCAGGCTGCATGCGCGGCGGCAGACAGGCCGGGACGCCCCCCCGCTGAGTGGGGCCTCGTTGTGTAACTCGTGTTGGGCGCGAGCATGAGCCTCTCAGCCCAATGCACTGTCATTCACATTGATGAAGACACAGAAAGGCCTGAGAAGCTGTGTCCTTGGCTGTGGCAGAGTTCATTTTGTTGGGTGCCGTGGAGTGGGCTCTGACCTGGGGGCCGGGGGTGCACCCGGTGGTGGTTGGGCCCTTTGTAGCCCGAGTGCCCTCCACCTGAGAGGCTTGTCTGCACTCTCTTGGACAGTTTGCTGCTGCTTTTCATAGGTTTTTGAGGACTTGCTATTTCTGAAATGGATGGCCAGGCCAAGTTTAGAAACTCTGAAACTCGTCCGCCACAGGTGGCCTCCACGTGAAAGGCTAATGGCATAGATTCTGTCACCACGTATCACCGCAGGATGATGGCTTGACAGGACGGGGGGCAGATAGTTCATTAAGCTCAGGTTAGCTACTGAGTGCAGCTGTGCCAAGTGCATACAGGTTCCATGTATTTGATCCAAAAAAGCCCAATCCACTGCCTTTGAGCATGCTGACTCCTACTGACCCTCCTGTGCACTTTGACCAGCTCTGTCCTGTGGCGTTGCTGAGGAGTTTGAACCAGCCACCTTTATTTAGGTTAAGGCACCATGCCACAAGAGACCCTTAGATGTATGACAGAAGCAGAGAAAAGGATCTATCAAGAGGACTACAGGGCTTTTGTTTGTTGCAGTGTACTGTTGAGTCTGGGGGTGACTCTAAAAGGCCATCCAGCAGTGATGATCTCCTGGCCCCATGCCTCTTGTCCGCTGTGTTAATTCTTTGTCTTGTTTTGCATCTCTGACAGGAGCAAATCATCAGCCTGGTCAATCAGATCTGTGGCAAAGTGTCTGGTAAGAACGGCAGCATTGAGAACTGTCTCAGTAAACCCACACCAAAAAGAGGGCCCCGCAAGCGAGCCACCGTGGAGGTGCCGCCCTCCCGGCTTTCCTCCAGCTCATCCAAAAGTGCTTCGAGCTCGTCATGAAGATGCCAACACTCTGTCCATTTATATATATTTTTTTGTAATTATTATATTCTAGTTTGGAGTACTTGCTGTAGGATACAAGCTGTCTTTGCACTAGCTCTAAAGAAGATTTTCTTCTGGTTTTAGAGAAACTAATTTTGTTTTAGCATTAAACTGTTGAACTTTTTTTGTACTTAGATACCTAGATACTGCAGTCCGATTTTTGAAACTGCCGTATACTCACTGTTTGAACCCGTGAGGGGCTATATTAATTTGTATTGCCCCTGTGGCTGACAGAAGCCGTTTTTGTTTTTGTTTGTTTGAGGTTTGTTTTGTTATTGTTGGGGTTTTTTTGTTTTTGTTTTTTTTTTAACTATTGGGGCTTTTTAGACCCAGTTTTCAAGAGAAGTTTGGAGAACAAATTATAAAACCATCAGTCATGTGAGCAGGTTCTTTTTTTTTTTTTTAAAGAGAGGAAAAGGGATAGGAGACACACACAAACACACACACACTTGAAAAGAAATGGCTTTACTTTGGCTGTCTTTTCTTCTGTCATGTGCAAGATGAGTTTGTAGTTTTTAAAACCGGAGAACCCCCATCTAGTGTCTCTGGGCGGTAATGGCAGCTGAAGGTGGACGCTTGCTAACCTTGAAAATGAGGAGACTCGAGCGACTCGGTTCTCTTTACCAGCACATCACTATGCATCTGTTTAAGGGGAAAAGAAGAAGAAAAAGACTGCCTGCCTTGGAGGGGTCACGTGAGGGGAAACTGTGCCTGATTTCATTAGGAAATCCATTCTGTTATTTTTTTGGTGCTGTTGGCTACTTTATTAAAAACCCTTCAATAGCATCCTTAAGAAAAAGAGGAGAAAAGGAAAAAAAAAAAAAAAAGAAAGTGATTGAAGCCGTCCGCGCTTCCTTGTCCTAGATGTGCAATCTTTCTAACATTCCATCTCCATCTCACTGCTGTTGTTTCTCATCGTCCGTCAGCATTAATCTCTTCCTTTGGGTTTGTTTTGTTTGTGGTCACATTTAGAGCCACTAGGAGGTCTCCCGTTCTTTTTGAATGTGAAAATGCATTTGCGCTCATTTTGTCTATTTTTTCTCTTCATGTTGTAACAAAAAGGAAAAAAAAAGGTAAAAAAAAAGAAAAAAAGAATCCCATCCCTTTTGTACATATGCCTGTAAATTGTTTTAAATACTTGAGCCTTTTCTTGGTGGGGGTGGGGAGGGGGTGGAAAGACAAGATGAAGAAAAGCCTTACCTTTCTGTTTCTTCATCGGTTGGATTGGATGCTTACAGGGTTTTTCTTGTAACATTTATAAGTGCTGCTTACATCATGGAACAACAACAAAAATAATAATGGAGTAGCTGTTGCCCTTCTCCGGTTGTGTGTACAGTATGTGTGGAATAAAAAAGGGAAAATGTTTTCACAAACTGTTCTTTGTTTCATAATTGACCCCATCAGTCCCGTAGCCCCCGTGCATCCCGAGCGAGCCGGTGTGACGTCGGGAGAGCCCGCTGGTGCACTGTGTTGATTGTTGTTGCAGAAGACTGAACTGTTTTGGATATTGAACAATGACATGAACAGAGTCAAGTGTTTTCCAATGTGGTTGTCTGGTTTTTATGGCCTTGCTGTATACTTTCCCTCTTTTGGACAGTAAACTTCTGCCTACGGCTTACAGTTTGACGTTTAATTTATTAGCGCTGCTCTGCACTCCTCCCTTGTAAGGGGGGACTTCATGTTGTTTATTGCCAGTTTTTTGTTTACTTTTCAGGTTTGTACTACAAGGTTTAATAATAAAAATGAAGTTTTTTGGACTTTTGTCTGTCTTGTGGAAGATGAGTGAGTGGGGGTCCCCGCCCCTGGGCTGGAGCAGGCCTGACTTCCTTGTGTCTCCATTGGGATTCAGGTCGTCTGAATCCTCTGTGGAGCCGAATGGCTCAGGCCACCATCACCTGCTCTGTATGCATCCCCTCCTTGAGGGCTTATCCCCTCCTCTAAGGGTCGCCCGAGGGCTGGGAGTAAGACCTCTCCAGGAACCAACTTTCTTGCCAGGAGTGTCTCACCTCTGCTCCTTAGGGCCCCATGTGTGGTTGGCATGTTGGTTTGCATGCGATCTCGGCCTTTGTTAGAGCCAGTGCATCTGGGGACACGCCACACTGCCATCAGAACTGACTGTGAACTGTCCCCGCCGACCCTGGGGCCACGGACAGACATCCTCTGATGCCTTCCTTGTATAACAGACTTGCTACATACTCTCTCATCTCAATGCTTAAAGTCCTCAAACTTTATTGGTAGCAGTACTTCAGTCTCTCACACATTATTGGCAATGTTGTAAAAATCAAGAACCTCTATAAAACAAGCTGACTTTATGGGTGGAATTGTGCACACAGCTTGAGACTCCATCCATCCATACACAGGCAGGTAGTCTCGGGACTCAGGAGTCACTGTCCTCGGTACCATCCGAGGTGGCCTTCCCATCGGTGATCAAGGTAGCCAGGGCAGTGTCCACTTGAACTTCCTCCTCATCAGACTGCACCACGGGTGACTCCCCATCGTCACTGGGGTCCTGGGTGGTCGAGTCAGTGCTGGGGGAGGAAAGAGAAGGCAGCCTGGCCTGGCCTGTTGAGGGGGCGGGAACCTGCAGGGTGATCTCATGCTGACACGAACTGGATTCAGGCCCTGTGAAGTAAAGTGGGCAGAGGCCTACATGAAATCGCTGTGATGTGTAATAGGGGCGCAGCTTCCTGGCGTGGGGCCTGGGCGCATAGCTGGGTGACAGGGCCCGCTGAGCCCTGGAAGAGCTTGGTACATGCTGTGAGAGGTACCCGTCACAGGGGAGACCATGTGTTCTTACAGGTTCAAGCACCTGCTGAACTCTGCCAGCTGTCACCAGGCAGCGCTCGTGTCTCCTTTGACGTTCCAGGGAACCTACAAACTACATTTTTTTTCTAGCCTTTCAAGGAAAACCCAGAGAGAAACCATTGAGAAAGGGACTTAAGATTACTGAACTTGGAGCAGTTTTCCACTTACAGGGCAACTAAGTTCTCTGTCTGCAAGTAAGAGGACCACGATCACAGCTGGCAGTGGCATTAATCCCCATTTCTGACCTTCAGGACTTCCTTGGGCAAATAAAGACTTCTAAGTCTTTCTCTTGCAAGGATACCACCTTCCCATAGGATTGCTGAAAGTAGATGTAGCTGTTGATCAAGTCAATAAAGATCCTAAGTCTTAAATTTAGAGCAAAATGGAAACCCTAATGGTGTGTGCCTGGTGCCAATCCCGTCATCGTGAGGCTGTGCCATGTTCCCTGACAAAAGCGTGTTCCTGTGCGTGAGTGCGGGTCTGTGAGGCCTACCTGACCCAGGGGAGAGTGCAGCATTGTCTTCTCCACCCGAGTTCAGGAAGACGTCCAGGGCCTCCTGGTCGGAGATGTCCATCAGGTCCATCTGCTCCAACATGTCCACGTTTACTTCCATGGACGACATGCTGCCCATGGGCTCTGGGGGGAGACCACAGAGTAAGGATGACACTTGATTGCATTCCACTTTTCTATTTACAGGAAGTCTGGGTTACTGTGGAGAACCATTCCTAAGGAAATCTTAAAATGGCATTTTGAGGTCCATACACTGGGGGCTTGTGGTGGCCTAGTGTGTAAGGAGTTGTGCTATGAAAGGAAGTGAGGTGGTTTGAATCTAGCATCTGTTCAATGGGAGCAAAAGGGCCAGTGTTCTGTGCAGTTCATGGCTCGGAAAGCCCACTGGGAGGTCAGCAAGAAGGCAGTTCTGACTTGACAGTGAGGCAGTAAGGGCTGTATGTTCTTGCTCAGTCTCTGTTGCTGTGATTTCCTGTCATGTCACCTTCTACCCAGCCACCGGATGTAGAAAAGGATGAAACTCTGCCGTGTCCATCCATCTCCTCATTGAGGGCCTCCCTCCTGTTTCACTGGTCATTTTTGAAGTACGTTCTTTTTCACAGTCTAAGCCCCTCCTGATAATATGCCCAAAGTAAGTGAGACAAGCCTTAAAGCCTTTGCAGTGATTAGAAATCCGTGCTTGCAACAAGTGTAGATGATTGTGATGAATTTGTGTGAAGTGAAAGTCGATCCAGCAGGTTTCAGGTGAGGGCAGATGAGCATAATATTAAAGGAGAAGTACTGGGTATGCCTACTGCTGTGCCAATTATTTTTTTTTTTACCATGTCTGAAGCACATACTAACTGAAATGACAGTCCTTGCTGAGTAAGATCCATCCATCCTAGTTCCTGCAGACACATCTGCTTCTGCATTAAGCAGCTCCGGCTCGGGGTGGGACATGCTCAGGAGAGAAGTTGCCTTTTGGCAGCACCAGAGTTAGCCAACTCCCTCTTCCTCCCAGGTCCACTTTGCTTTCTGTGACAGCTGTCCCTTGATGGGCATCTCTAGTCCTGATGTTCCTGACTGGACTGTTGATTGAGCTCAAACAAAGCCTGACCTGCACTGCACCTTTTCTCAAGCTTGATAACAGCCTCTGATCTTCACATCTGATGATGTTTGGACATGGGCACGATGAAGCTTTAGAAACAGGAGGTTTCTGCAGTGGAAGCACAGCCCCCCAGAAACGGGCTATATGAAAACAAATGCTAGTTTGTCTCACTGAGGACACCACACAGGACTGAGGTTCCATAGACTCAGGAGCTTGTTAACATCACTCACCTCAGGCAAGGCATGTCCAGAGTGTGGAAAGACCCACCCTACCACTGGAGAACCCACAGGAATATGACCTCACAATGCAAAGTCAGAACCTCATACACACTTGAAAATAAGTCACCGGAAGTAGCAACAAACTCAGTGTTGGCATTCTTCCATGGGAACTTAAGATGGCTGCTTAAAATAGTTTAAAAAAAATTCAGTATACACAATCTATCCAGTTTTTCTCTGCACTGAAACAGATGAGGGAGTGAATAATTTAAAAGAGATATATGATAGGGTATTATCATCACAAGAGTCCACAATTAAGTTTGCATAGTAGAATGTACTTGGGGCGGTGGGAGGGGTGCGGGGGGATTGTGTACCAGGGAGGGAGTGTTACTTTTGAAAGAGAGGAGTGAACTGGGTGGGGAAAGAAGTGCAGCAATGAATGAATGGAAATCTAAAATCTCTGTAAATGTTCATTAAAATTATTTCAAAAAATAGGCCTTTCAAAACAGCCATTTCACAAAAGAGAAAAATAACTTCAAACATTAACAGTTTCTGTCACACCAACTTCTATTAGATCCCTTTATGTGTCCAAGTAATATTCCACAGCATTTTTTATTGGGGGGTTATGTAAGTAGATATTTTGATGAGGGTTTTTTCCACTAACCTAAAAACAACTAATCATAACCTAATAGAAAATAAACTAGAGGTCAAACTGAAAAACTCCCAATACAGCACAAGAAAAGATGGGAAACCCCAAAGCCTAAGTGATAAGGAAAGCTTTCTAGAGAGAATTGGGGACCATCAGTACTCAGGAGGCCAGTGATCTTCCAAAACTTAACAGGGAACAGAAGGGTCTCAGATCTAGAAACCAATGTCTTAAGAAGATAAATCCACACCTCTGTAAACTGCAGTGACACTGAAGAACATCAGGCAAAGAACAGGGCAACTAAGGACAGTCTGAGCAGTGTCTCAAAAATAAACAGCAGGAAAAGAGTAAGTTCAAAGAAGATGATGAAGACCCTATCTAAAATTGTATACTCAATAAAAACACCTCAGATCAAACAAAATGCCGGGCTGTAAGACAAGAAAGAACCCATTTGACCTGATTTACTAAATTTACCAGTTGCTGTAGAGCCAGTTCTGACTTGGAGACCTGTGTGTCAGGTACAGCATCACCAGAGCGCTTCTCCGTGGGTTTTTTTATGGCAGATACGCTGGAAGCAGACTTCCAGAAGTCACATGGAAAGGGGTCCCAGGAAGATGGTCCAAGATACCAGACAGACTTGGAAATTTGTGAAAATAATAATATATCATTTACTAGAACAGAATTAAAATGCCAAATTTTATATTGGATACGGAATGATCAGAGTTGAAGCAAGTAAACTCTTTTTTTTTTTTTACTCAAAAGAAACAGGTTTTGTAAAAAAAAAACAAAAAAAAAACAGGTTTTGTTGTGAGGTGCCGCCAAGTCCAGTGTGAAGGAATCCTGGTGACTCTGTGAGCCACAGATCTGCCCCCTGGCCTATCCTGTGTGTCTTCATCCACCTGACACTGGTGCTCACTGTTGCTGTAGGTGAATAATATCCTCTCACTCAAAATGTTGTTTTTAAAGAGGGATGTGGAAACTGCTTTTTTAAGTATGAAAGAGGCCCCAGGTTTTTGTTTTTTGGGGGTTTTTATTTTTTTTTGGTTTTTTTTTTAAAGTGAAGAAATAACCACAATGGGCAACACACTAACTTTTAAAAAGAAACCTGATGTAGTGGTATAAATTATAACATTTAAAAAAAAATTAAAAAGGAAATGTTTCTTTTAAAAAATATTAATTCACCAAGAAGATTATTCTAAATGGGGGGGGGGAGAGTGTGTGTGTGTGTGTAAAGGAGAAAATGGGAAGCTGCAAAGGAACTGCCTCATCTGTCATCATGGTTGAGGTTTAGAGTCCTTTTCCATAAGTGACGATTTGGTTTGATGAAATGGACAACAAAAGCTCTTCCCTGTCAGATGTAGAGAAAAGAGGCCATGAAGTCTGTCTCATCATTATAAAATCCCATTGTCCAGAACAATGAGTTTGAATTAAAATCATCTCGCATCCTTTGGGCATGCTGCTAGGAGAGGCTCTATTCCTTTGAGAGATGGGCTGTTCTAGGAAAGGTGAATGTCGGCTAATGAGGAAGATCCCCAGCGAGACAGAGTGATACAGTGGCTGCAGCTGTGGGCTGCAGCGTGCCGTCGATGCACAGGGCTCAGGTCTTGTTCATAGGGTCACTGTTGTAATCAACAGCACCTAACAACAACAACAAAAGCTAACTGGAACAATCTTCATACATTTCATTATTTAAAACTCATCGCCAGTGAATTAGTTCCTGCTCCTAACAAGCCCCCATGGGGGGTCCCAGGCTGTAAGTGCACGGGGGTGGGGGGACTGTCCATCTTCCTCTGAGAGGCTGCTGGTGGGTCCTAAGGCTACACCACCAGTGCTCCTGATGACTAAGCAAACACTTCTAAACAGCTCACAAGTCAAATACGAAATCTTCATGAACACATTCATAGAAACTTAATACATCAAAACTAGAATTCCACTCAAAGTGGCATCCCAGTGAGCCTGTCATAGCTTTGGGGGCTTTACGAGGTAAGAAGGATGGCAACCAAGTGTAAATGTCCAACTTAAATGAGAAAAAAAGAATGCATAAAGGCAGCAGATGTCCAACAAAAGCAGAAACAATGAAACAAAATACAAATGGAAAATAAAACATTTCTGAGAGAGAAAACCCTTTAAATGGGCATGTTTGGAGTTAGATTCTTCAATGAAAGAAAAGGCATAAATTACTACTGAAGAAGTAAAAACGGAAATGAATAATATTAGCATTATGCTGGTATCTTTGAAACTGAAAGCAAAATCAAATAAAAAAATCAAGAATATCTGAAAGAGAAAAGTTCCATATAACCAGAGTCATTGCCACAAAAAAAAATCCCTGGTCTCAGACATTTCCAGAGAAAAGTTCTTCCCAGTATTCAAGAAATGCATGATAAGAGACCACCAAATTGAAACTGAGACAGCATCACTACCACTAATTAAAATGTAATGCAACTCCAATCAAAATCTGGACAGAGTTCCCTATAGAACTTCTAGAAGAACAAACAGGTTTGTCCTGGAGAGGGTGAATCCAGGCTGTTCCTTGGAGGCAAGGATTCTGAAACTTCCTCTGACATACTTTGGGCATGTTGCAAGGAGGGACCAATCCCTTGGAGAGGAACATCATGTTTGGGAGGATGGACAGGAAGCCCCTCGATGAGATGGATTGATCCAGTGATTGGGGTAATGGGAGTAGGTGTTTCAGAGACAGTGAGATTGGCACAGGATAGAGCAGGGGTTAGGGCTCTCATACATAGGGTTGCTATGAGTCGCAAACAACTCGATGGCACACAGCAACATGGACAAACAGACACCCTTCTGGTACTCTCTGCTTTCAACTAAGATTCATCTGACATCTGCAATCCTTGGTGCCACAGCCTCTTCTAAATCCAGCTTGCATTTCTGGTTTCTGTGTCAATGTACTGCTCCAGTCATTTTTTTATAATCTTCAGCAAGATTTTGCTGCATGTGATGTTAGTGATACTGTTTGATAATTTATACATTCTGTTGGATCACCTTCTCTGCAGAATGCAGAATATCGTTCTATTCCTGCAGAATGGAACTGAACAAATGTATTCTGAACTTACAACAAAAACATGTCAAACAACTAATGGCATAAAAATACAGTGCATTGGTACTTCCATTGTGTTTTTAGTAACACCAATGCATACCATACATTGTTCTTAGTATGTCACATCACTGAGGAAGAGACAATGAGGACATGATCAGAAAGCTCCCACAGGGGCCCTGCCAATACTAATGCCTCCTGAGCTGGGCGGTGGCATGCTGGAATTTGTAGTAACAACTCCTCCTATGTCTGAAATCATTCATAACATTTTTAAAAGATCTGATGCAAATATGATGAACCATTATATGTCAAATCTGGAAACATGGTATGTTACATTATTTCTAGTTGTCTGGCTATTTAAAATACTTCCCAATTAAGACAAAAACCAGTCATCGGTCACAGTAAATCAAAGTTTTAACTAAAACCTCATGGGAAGATAAACATAAAAATTTAAGATTCTAAGTCTGCAGTTGTACTTGGAAATATTGTTCAATTTTAAACTGCATCCTTAGTGTAAACTGGTGGTCAAATCCATCAGTTGCTCCGTGAGAAAACAGTAATTTTCTCCTGTGGAAAACCTGCTGGAGGGTCAGCTGTGGGTCGGTTCCAACGAAAGGCACACAGCAACATACTGCATCCTGGAGTCTCTGGGTGGCACAAAGGTTAATGAGTGTGTGCTAAGTGAAAGATCAGAGGCACTTCAAAGGAAATCCTGGCAATCTTAGGTCCAGAAATCAGCTCTGAAACCCCACGCCCACAGCTCTATTCAGGAACAAGGTCGGCAGTCGGGCTGTGGACAGCTGGCTGCTCTAGTCGGATAGTTTCAACAGCAGCTGCCACCTCCTTTCCCAGGGCATCAGACAGGAGACTGGGGACCACAGGGCACCCTGGCTCCAGTGGACTCAGGAAGCAAAACTGCTGTCCAGAGCACAGGAATACACAGGCACAGAAGGGCACCTCTGAGGTCATCCCGGAATAACTAACCACCTTGTCCGGATAACTAGATACCATGCAGGACACCAACAGTGCCTCCTGAGAAAACGGGGAAGGCCAGGCCTGGCCAGCACAAAGTCCTCAGTCACATCCTAAGTGCCCAGTGCTGCGTGGGCATCTGGGAGTGGCCTGCAGTGGTCCTCTCTGCTTCCAGAAATCTGGTCCAGCTTGGTCCCTCCAAGCTTGAGACCCAGGAGCCCTAGTCCACTCTGATGATTTCTAACTAGAACTTTCATATGCTTGTCTGAATTCTATCTGCCCCAGCCCCTCACCCCCCCAAATGATACTTTTTGGAAAGTGAGACAAAAAATGTCATCTGCTATTTATGATTTAGTGAAATGAGTCCACAGCATCATGTTCAGTGTGGTGTTTTCTGACGAATTCTCCTAAATTAAACTGTGGCAAAGAAGCATCCTCCTTAGGAAAGTGACAGGTAGTGGGGGGGCAAATCCAGTCTTGAGAGGCCCTCCACAGAGCAGGGTTCATCACTCTGCGTGGATTGTCCACCTACGAACAAAGGCAAAATGCCTGTAACCTCCAATTTCCATCTTCAATATTTTCAAAACCATATGTATTGGCAAAATGTGCCTGATGCCATTTACTCCTTCAAACATTAAAAACAAACAAAAAACTACATAAACCTTCAAGAACATAAAAATGGGCATGCTTACTGGTCTGATGGAAAGTGGCGGGATGCCAAGACTATGACCCTTTGTCACCCTTCAATCCTGGAACAAACCTCATTAGTCTTGTGTCAACAGTCAGCCCTATAGCAGACAGGTTTTCTAGTAACACTGGGGAGGTACTCACTCCTAACAACAACCATTCATAAAGACCAAAGTCAGCATTTTCCCTAGGGAAGAGGATGAAAGGATTAATGGAAATGAGCACCATAGGGAGGAAGTGGGAAGGACAGTTAAAATGTGGGGATTGTCATTAAGGTGGTAAAACCAAAATGTGCATGAGTGTTGAATGCAAAGTCAATTTGCTCTGTAAATTTTACTCAAATCACTTTTTTTTAAAAAAAAAAGCCCAACACTTCGGAAGCTTGAAACTCCCTTCGAAGCCACAGTTCGCTCACCTGGTATGCACTGATCCTGTTCCACTGTTTGCTTAGACTTTGGCTTTCCAGTCCCCCAAGGATACTGCACCACACTCCTGGCCCCACCTGTGGGCCCTGCCTTGCACAGAGAGGTATTCCTGCCTCTTGGGGTGCTCCTCATCCTGCTCGGCCATGACACCATGTGATTACACATAGCAGGAGCCTCATAAGCGCTCTTTCTGTCTCTGCCTCCTCTAGACGGGAAAGTATTGAAACTTGACCCAGCGGCTCAGTAATATCACTGAACTGAAGGAACAAGGACTGAGGTCAGCGTCTAGCAGAGTTCCCACAGCTTTCCCTGTCCACCTTCTCCCCATCCCCCTGCAGTCCCTCATCACACATTTTCTGGCTGGCCAAGGTGACTTGTCCAGCAAGGGACAGGACACTGTTCCCAGAGCAGCTGCGGTCATAGAAAGCCACTTCCCTAGGACCCACTCCAAACACAGCAAAGATGACCCTGGGCCTTTCTGGATAACAGGCTCTGTATCAGTGGGACACAAAGGGGGAGTGAGCAGATGGTCCATTGGAGGACCAGGATGCCATGGCCACAGCTGGCCACATGCATCCTACAGTGAAGGCATAGGGATAGGACTGTCCATCTGCTTTTCCACATCATTTCCCTTCTGCATTCAATCTATGGTCTCTGTAAGTTCTCCTGGGAGGGGCAGAGAATTGAATGACCATAAAGGGAGCAGAAAGGGTGACAGGTAGAATGGAGAATGGGCCTGTTTTGGGTGGGGAGTGGCAGGGTAGAGACAGCCAAGGCCAGGCCCAGGCAGGTGCGGTCCCAGGTGATGTGCAGAACCCTCCTGGTGCAGTGGTGAAGCACTCAGCTGCAAACTAAAAGGCTGGCAGTTCAAACCCCTCGGCCACTCCACAGGAGAAAGATGGGGCAGTGTGCTCTGTGAAGATGACGACCTGGAAAAACATGGGCGCCTCCACCCTGTCCAGTGGGGTCTCTAGGAGTCAGAATCAACTAGACAACAGTGAGCTCATGCTTTTCGCTGTGGCTTGGTAGAGCGTATGAGAAGCCCAGGAAAAGACAGAGGCAGGAGAGGCCAGGGCACTCCCGAGTGGCAGTGCCACAAATCAACGGGGCAACTCTGGGCACCGTGGCTGGGAGGGGCCCACCGCCTCCACTTGCCTCAAGAACACGCATGCTGCCCATTCAGCCACCATGGCCTTGGGCAGGTCTTTGAATAAGTCCAGGACCCGATTTGTGTCTATTAGGGTCATTCTGGAGAATGTCGGAGACACAGACATCAGTGCCCTCAAACGCTCAGGACAAGAGGTAAAGCATCTAAACCAGCGTCGGGTAAAGCATCTACCCAGAGGATGAGCTGCATCACTCAGAAGCATCCTGACAGGATGTATAGCCTTCAGTCTGCCCTTTCCAAAGATTTTTAACAAGAGTGGGAGAGCTTCTCAAACAATATTAAGAAAGGTTGGATACAAAGATATACATAGAGATTACACAAAGACAATCTCACATCCCCATGAAAATGCCAAAGAAACATACTAAAATAGTGTCGTAATTACTTCTTGGTTATGGAATTATAGGTTCTTTTGTCTTTAAAAGTCTCACGCCTTCCACAGCATAATATAATTTATGTTATAATTCTAAAATATATTTTTAAAACTATGTTCAACTATATGTAGAGGTGTGGTAAGCAGCAAAACCAGAGTAAGAGAAGTATGGGGTAATGCCTGCTTTGATGTCTGTCTAATAATAGGAAGAGGGAGCTCTATTCAAGTAGTGTGAAGGAGTTGCACTGCCAACCCAAAGGCATGGGGTTCTTAATCCACGGCTGCTCCTTGGGAGAAAGACAGGCAATTGACAACCTCTGAAAACCCACTGGACGGTCAGCCATGTGTTGATTCCAACTTGAACACCAACAAAGCAGGAAGTGGTTCCTAAGGAGGGTAACCCTCCCTTGCCCTCAGCCCCTATGGTCCTCTCCCCGCTCTGGGAGTGCGCCACCTGGCTGCAGCCGCACTTGCCTCTCCTCTCGGAGATCTGCAGGTAGCCTGTGGAAAGGTACTGCTCCATGTCCTGCTGGAACGCCTCCTCAAAGAACTTCTGCCGCTCCTTCAGTTTCAGCTGCTGAGTGTGCTCCATTTCCAGGACCTTCTGGGCGTGCTCAGCATCTAGTTCAGCTAAGGAAACAGTGCCAGGTTAGAGCTTCTAAAGGGCTGGGGTTTCAGGAGTGGATAGAAATACCCACTCTCCCAACTGTTAGTGGTGCTTCCCTCTCAAACCCGGGCCAGTGTGCCCACTGCTCTGTAACCACCTCCCCTCCTGCTGAGCTTCTTCCCTTCCCTGGGCACGCCAGGCCCTGCTCACCTTCACACCATGCACGTGCCAGTCCCTCTGGCTGTCCTACCCGCATCTCCCAGGGAAACATGATAAGCTTCTGAGGCCAACTTCACAGGCCTTCCTTCAGCTAATTCAAGTAGAATCTGTTACTCTATCCTGATGTTTCCACTTCAAAACTGTGAGAGGCAGAGATCTGGAGCTCCTGGGGGTCTGTGGCTATGTGGTACTAACTTTGCTATCTGATCACTCAGTTGAGAGCCTAGCACATAAGAACACCTCAATAAGCCAAACCAATACTTGCTCTCATAGGCCGGAGGCACAAGGGAGCACCAGGGAGTGGTTCTTTTTCTTAGTTTCCCGTTAATGGCCTTGGTGGCGTAGTATGTATGGTGGCGTAGTTTGTAGGGATGTGCTGTTAACTCAGTGGCCATACCTGAGTGGCTTGAATCCACCAGGACTCCAGATAAAAGGTGGACAATCTCCTCTCTTGACGTTTATAGCCTTGGAAAATCAGCATGGAGGGTAAGCTAAGGGTCAGTCCTGACTAGACAGCATTGAGTTTGAGTTTCAAAGGATTTTGTAGTTTCTCTAGGGATGCTATTTGGTTTTTTTTTTCTCTGTGCATGAGCTATGTGACCCAGGCAATCATTTCACCTTTTGGAACCTCACATTCCTCACTGGAAACTGGAAGGAAATGTTAGTTCACTACTGATATGAACATAAATGAAATAATGCGAAAGGAATTTAGAATGACAGTGAATAGTGGCCCCTTAACTTGATGGTAATATAATCAACTTGAGCCGTGCCATTTAACAAAACCCTAAATTTGCTAGATGGTCAACACTTTCTAGTGGAATAACCTTCCTTCATGGGATGCAGAGAAAATTTTAAAAAGTGATGTACAGGTTATTATTCACCCTTGGACTTGGGCAAGGAGTCAGGGGTGATTTCTACATTTGCCTTTAAGTATTAAGTTCTTTCTTTATCCTTAACTAAGGAGCCTGGAGGCCTTTTCCACACGTCTCCCTGGTGGATTCGTTTTATGTGGTCCCAGGAATGTTACTGTGACAGACTTCACGATCATGATGAGATGGCGTTAGACAGCACTGCTCACTTTAACAAAAAGAGCTTATCTGGGTGCACCTGATCTCATCAGATCCTGTAACAGGACTGAGATTTTCCTGGAGAAAAAGACTCACAGTGTGAGAGGAGTCTGCCGTGAGGAACAGTCTCCATTGCTGGTTCTGAAGATGGGGGAGCCCATGGGGCAAGGAATGGGCGAGGTATCTGGGACATGAAAGCTATCCTCGGGTAAAAGCCAGCAAGAAAAACAGGGAGATCAGTCTCCCAACTACCAGGAAACAGTTCTCTGCCAACATCTGAATGAGCTGGAAGCAGATCATTCTCCACAGCCTCCAGGAAGGGGCACGGCTGGCTGACGCCTTCATTTCAGCTTTTTAAGACCCTGAGTAGCCAGGCAGATACACTGACTTCTGACCTGCTGAACCTGACTTATCTGTGAGGTTTGAAGATGCAGGATCTGTGATGACCCATCATGCAACAGTGTGGGATGACTGCAACATCCACTGTCAACTGTGGGCAGGAATGGGACCTCACCGAGTGCAAGGAGGACAACCACCAGCATGTATTCTAGACCTCCCCCCCCCAGGGGTGGGCATGATGTGGGTGATGTGTCACTGGACAGCAGGGTACTGCGATTTCAAAAAATCTGCTAGTTAGCAGAAAGGCCCAGTCACCTTGTGCACCTGAGAAAAACTGAGGACCCAACATGTGAAGGAGGAGTTTTACCGGGGTAGTGCTCCCTCTGGCTCCTCTCTGGGGATTGTGGATGGGTGGGTGTTACTCCAGCGATTTATTTATAAACCAAACGAACCACAGCAGGACTAATAATAAACACCAAGGCCCTTCCCCAAGATCTCCATATTTACCACAAAATACTGTTATGCATGATAGATCTTTTAGGTTTCACAGAGGAGTAAATTGTAAATCCCAAACCAGTTATAGTCTGTTACTTAAAATACTTAAAATGTTCTGAACTCTAATATACATAAATGCAAGGGATACAAACGAGTACTGTCCAAAGCCACACAAGCAGGAGTGAGTGTTCCTAATAACAGGGGCTATCATGTCTGTCATCACTGTGTGCATGCCCCCATTCAGGGGCCGTCCTAAATTACGTATAGATCGAAGCACACTCCATGTCTGTTCACACACGGAGATGATTCAACACAGTGGTGAGTGTGGTGCGCCCTGGAGTCAGCGCAGACATGTGTCCTTGGATTTCAACTGCAACAATGGCCCCAGCCCACAGCCAGCTGTGCTGCCCCTGCTTTCTGCTCAGGGCATTCTGCAAATACCCAGGACCCAGAGCAAGCTGAGCAAGGAAGTTCTGAGAAGCTGAGGCTGCTCCCAGGGAGTTGGGGTTCTGAGAAGTTGAGGCTGCTCCCAAGGAGTTGGGGTCAAAATCTGCATTTCTCTGCTCAGTCCTGGTCTTCCTTCCTGTGGATGCACAGTTCTAGGCAGCTAGCCGAAAGCTGCTTGGAGGTCCTTGCTACAACAGCACCCGGGTCTTTTATGGGTTTTCCCTCTGCTGCCGCACTGTCCTCACTCCTTTAATCCTGCTTCTAGGAACCACTTTTCCAAGGAAACTACCTGCAGTCAACTCCTTGGCTTAGGTTCTGCTTTCCAGCCAAGGCAGGATATCTACTAGTAAGACTAACTTCCTTCTCCCTGAAAAAAAAAAATAGGCTGCTGTGCTTTGTCAGGTGTCATCCAATCACCTACAGGTCTGAACCTTGCCACATCCTGCACCATATGCTCAAGCCCATTGTTACAGGCACTGTGTCAACAGAAACACCTATTAGATAAGGTTGTTGGCAGGATCACATGAGGTAACATATGGAAATCATCAGGTACACCACAACTGGCCAACAGCTGACATGTAACATTAATAATGGCATTATTAAGAACAACAGACTCTTGAAAAGGGAGTGATATGAGGATTTACCAGGAACTACGATGTGGCTCTGGAAATCAACTTAAGAGAAGTAATTGCTACTTATTGCCCTTCTAAATCTTCAAAGAATTTAGAGTGTACTTATAAGAAGAAAAAAAGAAAAGAAAGACTTTCTTCCAGGAAGTCTCTTCATATTTTTTCCACTCCTGCTACCAGGACCAATTTCAAATGGATAATTACTCAAAACAACACAAAATCCCATTACCAGTGAAAAAGGTATAATCAATTCTCAATTATATGTTTTAATGGAGCACAAAGTTATACAAGATATATGAAATTTAAAAGAAAAAAATTCATTTACTCAAATGTATTATCATGCCTGAAAGTACATTAAAATAAGTCAACCATAAACTATATGAAAAAGTAAAAAATATGCTTTAGATATATCAAAGAAGTTTGCTTAATCTTTCTTTTAAAATTGTTCTGGAATAATGAGCAGCTCAGAAAAGAAGATGATGAAAGGGATGTTTTAATAGTTGTTATGCACTGTCGTATCACCTGCCACTCATCGCCACGCTATATACAACACCTCTGAACCCTGTCCTGTCCTGAGCCAATCTCACTGTCTCTGACCTGCCCGCATTACCACAGTTACTGTTAATCCATCTCATCTGGGGTCTTCCTCTCCTGCATTATCCCTCCACCCTTCCAAACATGATGTCCTGCTCCAAGGAGACTTATTCCTCCTGTCAACATGCCCAAAGTATGTAAGATGGACTTTCAAAAATCCTTGCCTTCAGAAATCAATTTGATTTCATTCTTGAGGACAGATCTGTTTGTCTTCTTGGTGGTCCATAATATGTTCAATACTCTTTTCCAGCACCACAACTTAAAGGCATCAATTCTTCTTCTATTATCCTTATTCATTGTCCAGCTCTCTAATGCATAGTGAGCAATTGTGAAGACCATGGCCTGGGTCAGGCACATCTTAGTCTCTATATGGAAATCTTTGGACTTTAGCATTCTGGAGAGGTCTCGAACAGCAAATTTTCCTAATCCTATACAATTTGTCTTTTGATTTTCTGGCTGCTGGTTCCAAGAGCGTTTAACAATTTCAATCTCTTCTTCATCCGTCATGGTGCTACCATGGTGCTCAGTGGTGAGAATCTTTGTTTCTTGATGTTGAGCTTCAATCCATATTGAAGACTAAAGTCCTTGACTTTCTTCAGCAGATACTTCAGGTCCTCCTCAGTTTCAGCAAGTAAGGTTGTATCGTCTGCATAGCTCAGGTTGTTGATGAGTTTTCCTCCAATTCTGATGCCACATTCATCCTCATAAAGACTAGCCTCCTGAATGTTCTGCATACAAACTGAAAAGGTATGGAGACAAGGACGCATCCCTGATGTGCTCCTTTCCAGATTTTGAACCATGCAGTGTTGCCTTGCCCTGTTCTGACAATCACCTCCTGGTCCAAGTATGGGTTTCATATGAGCACAATAAGCTGTTCTGGGGATTCCCATTCTCCTCAAGATTAGCCACAATTTGTTGAGATCCACACAGTCAAATGCCTTTGTGTAGTCAATGAAACATAGACAGACACTCCTCTGGTACACTCTGCTTTCAGCCAAGATCCATCTGACATTGGCAATGATGTTCGTAGTGCCATGGCCTCTTCTAAACCCAGCCTGTACTTCTGGTAGTTCTCTATTGATGTACTGTTACACTCTGTTTTGGATAATCTTAAGCAAGATTGTGATATTAATGATATTGTTTGATAATTTTCATGCTCTTTCAGATCACCTTTTTTTTTGGAACAGGGATAAATATAGATCTTTTCCAGCCAGCTGGCCAGGAAGCCTGTGC